TATTGTGTTATTTTTTTACTGTTCTAAGAAACTTCGTAAGTTTGTATGCCAGATAATAGGAATATAAACATGAATAAGATATCTTTCTTCCTGCCCTTGAAACTCCTAATTTTTTACTGCAGAGAAAGATGTGCATATTTCTTTTAATCCAAAGTGATAAACACAAAGTCAAAAACAAGCATCAAAGAAATGTGGGAATGGAATGGAGGGCAAATGCTCTAGCTTGATTTAGGTGGTGAAAAGGAAGCAATGTACAGTACAAGTATCTCCATAAATATTTTCCAAGGAAAATCATAATGAATTGAATCTAGATAGCCTAGCTCTTGAATTCTTGAATGTTTACACTCTCTAAAACAAATTATGCTCCTACACTGTCAGGTAGTCCTTCAAGTATGTATACAAAGGTCTTTCTTTCAATCTTCTTAAGAGCAAATATCCAATCTCCTTCAATTAGTTCTCACATAGAAGTATTATATATCCCTTATTGTATTTCTTCCATATCAGATTAACTTACCCGAATTGTGCAATCTAAAGAAGACTTTTAGAAGGCAATGCATATAGCACATCTTTCAAGTTGAAGAGCAATAGCTGAACTCTAAAGGTCCCTGCTTAGCATAATTCCTGTAGTGTCAGTGTGATTTACAAGCAAACAATATTGGTAATAGAATATAAATAAAACCTAGCCTTTCCCCTCAGCATTTGAAATAAATTTGAACTTTAATAGATGACTAACACAATGGGTTAAAAGTGAGACACTGACAATTTTTGGCTTTAGTATCTTAGCAAACTTTATAGGTGAGTTTCTGCAATTAACGCTCTTGTAGATATCCCCAGGTAAGTAACTCTGTTTAATAAGCTAAAAGAAGATGGCTTGGAGATAATATTGTTGTCATAGAAACAATGCTTGCCTATTAAATTAGTGAGAGAACTGGAGAATTATGGATTTATCTGGGCATATTAAGTATAGTATGTAGGGAAAATGTTGAAATGTCTGAAGATAGAGATATTAGTTATAATGGTAAAACATCATTCTCAATCTAAAAGGCAATATTCACTTGCTTTCTAAAGGCATAAACTTAGTAATGTATCTCTCTACTCTTTAAATAAGAACCTTTTAGCTGGAAATGATTCATTCCATTTCTTCAAAGGGATTTGGGAAAATCTCCTGGATTGCCCTGAAGATCTAAATCAACCTCAGACTGCATCCATGTAATGGAAAAGTACAGACCCCCAAGGTGATCAGACAAGCCCAACAGCTGTTAGATGTCCATTAAAACAGTACTACAAGAGTGTGTATTTGATGGATTTCTCTTGAGATATTTGTATCCAAAATGAGGCTAGAAATCACATTCTCTCCTATAAAGTAACTCTGAGAAGCCCCGAACTGGAATATGCGTGTAATTAATAAATGAAAAACACTAAGCTCATTTCCTGTGCTTACTTCTATCCACATTACCATCTTTTGTGGGGCTAAATCTGATATTTGTTAGGCTTTTAAAAAAATATTGGGGATTTGATATGAAAAGGATTTATCAGGTGCTTGTCAAGCCATGGCCTTTTAGTAGGTACAAAAGGTGTAAATGGTGAGCTCCTTGAGGGTAGGATTCATTTGACACAGGAAATACCACATGGTAATTTCATATATACTTGTACTTGGTTAAATTCAGCCAATTAAATATAGCAGTGGCATCTACTTCTATTTTGGAAAAACCGCTTGTTTTACCAAATGGCTATTCAGGTCATGGCCCAAGGATAATGACTAATTGTATATTGGCCTTCATATTTTTACTAATTTTGTATTTATCCCAAGTGCAAAATTCATAATTTTTTCTTAAATGAACTGGTCCCTCAGAATCAATACCATTAAGTTATGCCAATGATTTCTGAATTCTGAATTTTACATCATAAAGATATACAAAATTTCAACAAATCAAGTTCGAGATTATTAAAATTACAAAATCACCCAAACAACTCTCTATAAACAGATTAGTGTTGAAGTCATTTATGAGCTTGCTTTATTTATTTATTTATATTCACTACTGAAAATTAGGCTTCTGTTTTGTCCTGATCAGCCAAGGCCAACCAGTAAGAGATACTATTTCTTTTTAATGGTAGTGGTATTTAAGACTAGGTTTGAAGAGTTCAGAAAAATGAGAGGGAAGAAGCAGACTGTTCTATTTAGAGGACTCAGGCAGGAGTTCTCAGTGTCTCAGGCCCAGCGTTATATGAAGACATGTTAAGTATGAACACTCATTGCCCCATCTTGGACTTACTGATCCACAAACCCTAGGCTGGGAGACCCAATAATGTGTATGTTAGCAAGCCTGTGTAGTGATTTTCATGTACCCTGATATTGAGAATCACCAGATTAAAAATTTGAAAGATAGTAGTGTATTTGGAAGACTTTAATTTCTTTATCCTCGCTCAACTTTATACCAAGTATAGTAAAAGTTGAGGATGAAGAGGTAGGTAAGATGTTAATGTGCCTTCATATGAAATTTGTACTGTATCATGATGATGGAAAGCTACTAAAACATTTGTAAACAAGGAATTAATATGGAAGCACCTGATAAAATGACTGTAAGGTCAGTGTGGGAAACACTCTGAGTCAATGTGAGAAACAGCCCAATTGGTTGAGAGATTAAGAGATGTCACAGTAGCAGAAGGCTTCTAGATGCTGGAGAAAGACTAAGTTACAATGGACTAAGTGACCAGACAAAAACCTGATTTAGGTTTTTGAAAACGAGTACCTGTTGAAGCTACTAAAAGTGATTAAAAATACCTTTAAAGTGCCACATTTAGAAAATAACATTTGAGTTTAGTTGAATTTAAATTCCTATGGCTCTCTACAGTTATGGGACTTACAATTCTGTTTGTAAACTAGCTAGTTAGTTGGCTATATGTAAAATTAAACTGTAGGAACAAATGAGGTATCTTGAGGAAATTATATAAGAGAATCAAACAGAAAACCCTTGGGATTTCTTTTTTTAAATGTCCTTTTCTATGGGCATGCTAGACAGAAATAAAGAGTAAAGGAAACAGTAGACTCTGATTTTTGCACAGCCACCCTGAATCTAGTCATTGATTGTCTAGCTACAAAAATCATCTGGTTAGGTGTAAAAAATATAGCTAAGTTGGAAGAGATCTGGTTTGCATAATTTTGAGAGAGACCTAGATTCTTAAAAGATAAATGTTTAAAAGAAGCCTATTAAAAACTCTAAAGCAGCAGTGTTTTAAAGAGTATAATTTAACCTAATGATGAATACAAGGAGTGAGAACATTTACATAATTCCCTTGAAATGACAGCAATAAAAATCTTATTTAAGGCACAACTTTAAATATTGATAATTTGGGCAAATGAAAAATTAATAATCACACAAAGACAATTCCCTAAAGCCCTTTCTTGTCTTTCTATTGGTATTCAAATTTGCCCCCCTTCAGACATTCCCAGAACAGAGCACTGCATATTTGTCAAATGTATCCAACATTGAGCTTTACTAAATTTACCAGAGAAAAACTTAACCTTAAGAAAGCTTATAATATACTTTATGTCCACAGTGACGTTTTGCCTAAGAGAACGCTGTGAGGTCACCATGCTACTGACTTCCTGTATTTTACTTTTGAGCTATAAGTAATTTATAACCAAACTCTCAGTCCAAAAGACAACATAGTATCTAGAGGGATGGGGAAAAAGTGGAACATAAAATGCCACCCACATCTTCATCTTAGTTATCTGAAAGTTGATGCCTTTATATTTAAAAAAAATTTGCAAGTAAATCATCCTATAGAAAATGTTGTAATCTTGACAAAATATATTTTTGTCTGATTTTAGCTGCCTTCCCTCCCCCTCCACTCCACCTGTAACAATGTGGAAGGAACACACATGCACACAAACACATATTTTAAGGTGAGGAGGGCGTAGAAGATGAATTATCTCTTTCCCCCATGTCTCTCCATTGTCTCTAAATTATGGATAATGAGGCCAGAAGTGTAATTACTGAAGGAGTTTGGAACCATAATTACTGAGCTAATCTCAAACATGGCGGTGACTGCATCACAACAAAACTCACTTTATGGCTGTCAGAGCCACTTGGAATGTGATAAGCATCTTGTGTTTGCAAACACAGATGCTGTAGCAAAGGAAGCTCCATATTAGCAAATTACCACAACGACCTGCTACACTCAACTCATTCTGATTTTGTAATGAGAAAGACCATTAAACTAGAAAAACTTTAAATTGTGACTGTTAAAGTTAAACAAGTTTAGGAGGAGATGGAAGAATTCAGAAAGATGGCAGAGTTGAGGCTTCTGCGGGATCCTGTTGAATTTCAAGTTTTGAAGCATAACATCTTGCAAACATCTCTACCATCATCTGTTCCCACTTATCACTGGAGAGCTGAAGTTGAAGGGGACTTCATAGGGGTTCTTAAGCTAAAGCATAGAGCTCTGAGATTACAGATCAAGACTGCACAGGAAAAGGGATATTTCTGAAGCTAGGGCACAAATGTCTGTGGAACACTTTTACTTTTTTAACTTTTACTTTTACTGGTACATGTTTGCAGCACATAATGATTACAGTCGTTATGTGGAGTTGGTATACGAATATAACAAATGCATCTTAATTCCCTTTCACCTGCTTCCCTTCCTCTCCCTCCCTTCTCACGCCCTCCCCCATCTCTGGGCCCCTTCCCTTTTGTAAAAGATGTATCTCCATCTTGCATTTCAGCTTCACTGTTCCCAAAGCTTCTCTGTTCTCTGCCTTTGCTCTTCCACTAGAATCTAGAAGACATCCCGCATCCTCCTCCAGTCAGAGAACAAGCTATGGTCGCTTTCCTTTGCACTCTGCTAACATCCTGGACCTGACTTCTTCTGTCTGTCTTTCACCCCGAAGCCTGGGACTCTGGCTCTGCCGCCTCTCACCCCAACCCTTTGTGACGCGAGTGCCCCCGTCCCCCAGCCCCCGGCGAGCTAGGCCAAACAGCCAGGCACGCACTGCACCTGCCCTCAGGGCTGCGAACGCCTTGGCCTGGCTTGGGTTCCCCAGGACCCTTGGAGGCCAGCCCTGACCCTTCCATCACAGACCATGGCCAGTCAGTCCTGCCGCCCACTCCCCCCACGCCTGTCGCCCCTGAAACCTCTGAAGCCACACTTTGGAGACATCCAGGTGGGAATTTGCTTGGTGATCTAGCCCAGCGACAAGAGGATCCACCTGGCTGTGGTCAGAGAGATCAATAGAGAGAACTCTTCGGTCACAGTACAGTGGGTTGAGAAAGGAGTCAAAAAAGGTAAGATCAACCTGGAGAACATCTTGCTGCTCAATCCAGCTCTGGCCTCTGCTCAACACCCCAAGCTGCCCAAGCCATTGCCTGCTTTGTGTCTAGCACCTTCTTCAGCCATCGGGGACCAGTGCGCAACCCCACAGTGGATTGCTATGGCCCCCCAGAAAAGCGAAACACCCTCAGGGGACAGCCCAGCTGTGGGGAGTCCCCAGCCATCCTTGTTTGATGAGGCAGAGAAAATCTCACTGCCTGCGGGAAATTGAGAAACTGCAGAAGCAGCGAGAGAAGCGCAGGCAGCTGCAGCTGCAGATACGAGCGAGCCCTGCGCTCCACTTGAACATGGGACACCCCAACTTCGAGGTCATGTGCATGATTGAAGAGTGTCGCAGGGCCCTGGACATCAGCAAGATCGCGCCGGTGCCCAGCTTGGAGCCCCCTGAACACTACCGGATCTGCGTTTGCGTGAGGAAGAGGCCTCTCAATGAGCGGGAGACCACCATGAAGGACCTGGACATCATCACTACCCTCTCGGACAGCGTGGTCATGGTGCACGAGTCCAAGCGCAAGCTAGACCTCACTCGCTACCTGCAGAACCAGACCTTCTGTTTCGATCGTGCCTTTGACGACACCGCCTCCAACGAGTTAGTGTACGAGTTCACAGCCCAGCCGCTGGTGGAGTCCATCTTCCGCAAGGGCATGGCCTCCTGCTTTGCCTACAGGCAGACTGGCAGCGGAAAGACATACACCATGGGTGGAGCCTTTTCCGGAAGGGTCCAAGATTGTTCTAAAGGCATCTATGCCCTGGTGGCTCAGGATATCTTTCTTCTGCTCAAAAACCCCACTTATGGGCAACTGGATCTCAAAGTCTATAGGAACTTCTTTGAGCTTTATGGTGGCAAAAGTGTATGATCTGTTGAACTAGAAGAAGAAACTGCAAATCCTTGAGGATGGCAATCAGCAAATCCAAGTGGCTGGGCTGTGGGAGCAAGAGGTGCATTATATGGAGGAAATGATGAACCTTGTGGAACTAGGCAATAGCAGCCGGACCTCTGGACAGACGTGGGTCAACACCCACTCATTCCGGAGCCACACAGTGTTCCAGATCATCCTAAAGTCCAGAGGGAAATTGCATGGCAAATTTTCCCTCATAGATTTGGCTGGGAATGAAAGAGGAGCAGATACAGTCAAGGCCAACCAGAAGAGGCAGCTAGAAGGGGCAGAGATTAATATGAGTCTCCTTGCCCTCAAAGAATGTATCAGGGCGTTGGGTCAGAATAAACCTCACACCCCATTTAGAGGCAACAAACTCAAACAAGTGCTCCGGGATTCCTTCATAGGCCAGAACTCTTCCACGTGCATGATCGCTACTGTCTCACCAGGGATGACCTCTTGTGAAAACACCCTCAACACTTTAAAATATGCAAACAGAGTAAAAGAATTAGCTCCAGAAGTCAGGCACTACCCTTGTTGCCTCTCACGGATTGGACAGGAGGCACCACAGATTTTAGAAAAGCACATGAAGAATTCACAACTGCCCCTTCAGGGGAATGAACTTAGGAAAATACCTTGTATTCAGAGTGATGAGGAAAAACCGAGTGAAGAAATTGCAACATTGTGCACCCCACTAATGAAGAATAGGACTTCTTGGAAGGAATCTAGCCAGTGGTGGGAGAATATCCAGGAGACGGCTGATGGAATTAACTGTGATGTAGAACATTGCATTGCCCACTCATTGTCTGTTTTGGAGCAGAATATTGATGTTCTGAATGAGATCCAAAAGCAACTGAAATTATTACGAGCTGATCTCCAAAAGACCAAAGTAGAATGAAGCCACCAGTAAGAGATCAGGACTGAAAGGATTGAAGATGCTGCAGGTTCTACCCCTCTTTTACAAGAAACTTTGCCCAAATTGTCTAATCATATAGATCCTCCTGGAGACCTCCCAGCATCTTAAAATATGCTGGTTGGAATTATAGTCTTTCTTCTTCTTATTTCTATAGTTTGTTTTTGTTCTGTAGGATGATGATTCTCAATTGGAAACAATACCCACCACACCTCACTCCCCACATACATGCACACTGAACAATTCCCGGTGTCCAGAAACATTTTGATTATGATGCCTAGGGAATGGGAATATTGGTACAAAGTGGTTAGAGAACCACTGATGCTGCGAAACACCCTATATCCAGACAGCCTTCCTCAGTGATTATCTGTGTATGTGTCTGGGTGAAAATATCAATAGTACCAAGGCTGGGAAGCCCTGCTGCCAAAGGAACCAGCTGTGATAAAATGCTACCTTGGCAGCTAGGAAAGCAAAATGCTGTGAATTAAAGGGACCAGAGGAGAAACACACAAAGGAGGTACTCACTGGAGGAAATTTCATGATACCCACTCATGAATTCTCTCAACCTTTTTGTGTAGACACAAACGGTTTCTAAGATCCAGTCCTACTGGGTGCAGAGGGGATGAGTGTGTTGCATTAAACCCATATGGCAGAGCCTAGAGTTGATTTTTTAAAAAAATCTCAGTTAAAATTTCAAAATATTGTACTGTGCACCCTGAGAGTGATTAAAGTCTGTGTATTTGTGTGTGTCTGTGTGTGTGTGTGAGTGTGTGTGTATTTTGCATAAGCAGAGGCTTTGTGGCTATGGCATTTTCAGGTTTTGGTTTTTTTTTTAATCTCACACTCCTTACCACATTTTATCCTCACAGGATTCATTTGAAAGTTGTTCTTGTTTCAAATTGAGGAAGGAAGCAAAAAATAGAAAAGTTCCCAAATAAAGTGGAATGCATCTCATAATCACACAGAGTACTCAAAAAAAAAATGTGAAAAGTCTTAATGCTTTAGGTCAGTTAGATATGAAGAATTTTTACTGATTCCATCATCAAGAAATCCATCCATGACTTTTAATCATGATATGTCAACTGGACTGGATAGAGAATGATGCCTGGGTTTGGAGAAGCAAACTTCTGGGTGTGTCTGGGTCCATCATGGAGTTTGAGCTTGGGGCTCTGTGTTTCCTGGCTCATTCCTCTCTGGCACTTCTCCTGGGCTCTGCTTCACCACCACCATGAAGTGAGCACCTTTTCTCTGGCAAACCTCTGCAATGATGTTTCTGCCTCGCAGCCAGCCAGCCACGGACTGAATCCTTTGAAACTGAGCAAAATTAAACTTCTCCTTTAAATTGTAGTGTCAGGTATTGTGTCACCTGCTAGGAAAAGTTAATACACATCCTTTTAAAAGATTAAAAGAATGCTAACCTGATATGCCAATAGAAGCATAAAAAATAATCTAATCCACATCATAAACTAATAGTCTAATAATCAGCAAGCATATTTTTGAAACAGTGTAACCAATAAGAAAGGATTATTTGGCTGCATCAATTCCAAACTCATTTTTAAAGAATTAAACTGAAATGATTTGCAAAGAATGTGCATGGTTGATTGGGGAAATTTGGAGACACATAGCTGATAGTCTTCATATCTTATTCCTACATTTTTCAGCTTATTGTTTAACATTTTGCACACTGTTTAAAATCTTTGCCTCTACAAAAACACCATCATCACTGAGAAAAACTGACATATAACTGATAGGTCTCCCACCACCTCAGCAGCTATTATGTATAGTAGCTGCCCTCTTCCTATGGTGCCTTGCCCCCTCCCCTGTGTGACATCATGCCAAGATGGTTGCTCCCACCAAAGAACAAACCCTTCTTCCCAGCATGCCCCTGTTCCCACCTAGACAGTAACCTAATACTCGCTCACCTCCTACCACCTAGTGACATCACCGGCTCCTCCATTCCCTAGTCACTACCTCACTCAACCCCGCCTCAGCCCCTACAAGCCCCACCCCAGTCTCTATAAAAGACTCTCCCTGCCCCAGCCATATTGCTTTTGTCTCTCCTTTGTTCAGAGACAGCCCGGCAGATCTATTCCCCTAATAAAGGCTTGTTGTGGCCTGGTCTGGTCTTGGTCTTCGGCCCTTTTACCTGACAATAACTTGATCATAGAGTAGCAATGACCTATTGGTTTCAAATGGTTAGGATCATCGTGAACATCTGGCCTTAATAATTAATATTTTGATATCTAAATATTTTCCCTTTGTTACTTGATTAAAACAAATTTAACAAAACAGAACTTTGAAAATTAGTTGTTCTTTAAGATAATCTTTTAATAAATATGAGACTTTAAAAATATCTGTGTTTACAATGAAAAAAGAATGAGATTAAGAATCTGATAAGGGTTCCTATACGAGTTTCATTGTATAGATATTTCTGTAATTTTACCCAACTAACAGACCTTCTGAGCTCTTTCTATTACAAAAAAATAAACTGAACAGTGATTGTATCTTCTCCCTCCCTCTCATCTTTCATGGCAATTACAAATGTTACTCTTATCATTGATCTTGTTCTTCTATTTCCACCACCCTGCCACATGTACAAGTCTAGGTAGCCTAGTAAGAGTTTCAGCACTCTGGTATCATTTTTTCAATCTTTTAATTTTCATGAACAGTTTTATTGAAATACAACTTAAAGGGATGTGCACAAACAGCTCTAAAGGTCAGTGTGTGTTTACAAAGGAAATAGAACTATCTGATGACCACATGCATCAAGATATAGAACACTTCAGGTGTGGTGGAGCACTCCTGAAATCCCAGTTCTCTGGCAGGTTGAGGCAGGAGGGTTTGTAGGGTTTGTAGCCCAGTCTGGACTACTTAGTGACTTAGGAACACCGTGTCTTAAATAAAAAATGAAAAGAGGTCTGAGGTGTAGCTGAGTGTGAAGGCCTTGGGTTCAATCCCCAGTACTGGAGAAAACAACCACAACCACAACAATATAACCTGTATCCCAGAATCCTCAATCCTGCCTCAATGCCGTCAAGTATTATTCTGAATAAAATCACCATATGGTGCTCCCCTTTTTAGATGAGTGGAATTACGTACTAGATACATTTGCATCCCTGGCTTCTTTCAAATTTATCTACTCTCTGACTTTCTACATATCTCATTGTATTTCACCACATAAATGCAATGTATACATTTGAGTTCTGATGGATAGAGTTTTTTCTGCTTTAAACAGTTCCTAGCAATGATATCACAGATGTTCTTATTCATGTCTTTTGGTGTACACTTACTTGCCTTTTCATTTAGTGTGGATAGGTGTGAAATCTACTGCTTCATGGCATGTGTATAGTCAATGTAATAGACTGTGCTAAGAAGTTTCTCTCAGGATTTGTACCAACTTTACACTACCATCAGTATTTTGCAAGAATTTCTGATTTTCCATGTTTGCCTACACCTAGTACTGTATTTTTATTATTATTACAAATTTATTTTGTGCGTTTCCACACAGTATTTTGTGTGGAAAGATTTATTGTTGTTTCAATTTTAATTTTCCTGGATAACTAATTGATACAGGGTATGTATAATATGAATAAATAAAAGTAATCAAAACAAGGGAAATATTATAACTCCCAACCTACTAGATATCTGAAACTCGAGATCCTGTTCTTTAAAATTGAAGAATGAATTCTAGGAACAATGGAGGTTAACAGTAAGGAATATTTATTGAGGAAAAGTCAGCTCCTGCCTGAGGGGGACAGGAGTGAACAACAGGAAAGTAGGTTGCCTGAGGTTCTGTATTCCAGGGTGGGGTTATGGAGCAAAGCCACAAGGTGAAGCAGGTACAAAGAGGGACAAACTATAGCCAACTAATAAGATCCAATGGGAAATCACAAGGTAGGAATAAGGTGAGACAAAACCATGATCAACCAATAAGATTACAAGTACAGTTACCCAGATAATATTGCTTAAATGGGGATCAAATGGGGAAACAAATCATGTAGCAAGCCTACATAGAATGAACAAGGAATTACTGGAAAGGAAATGGGCTAGGGAGATTGATGTCTATTTAGAATATCAATCACTGCTATTCACCTCTAGGGGAAATATGTAAATGTGGTATTATTTCTCTTTTTATAATGCTGACCTTCAGTGAATATGTCTCCATTGTCTTTCATATCAACTCCTGGAGGGTTGGCCCTATCCAACTGCCTACAAAACATCTAATAAACTTAGCTGTCTACAATATAATCATATTGAAGATTTTTACCTATGTTTACTGTCTATTTAGATATTCTTCTTTGTGGAAAATATCTGTTCTGGACGTAAGTTCTTTAGATCGCTCTTTTCCTCACTAGTGGTTATTTTGATGATCAGAAATTATATATTTAAGGAAATTGTATTTATCAATATTCTTTAATAGTTACACCCTATTTAAGAAATCTTTGGGTCTGGAGATATAGTTTAGTAGTACAGCACTTACTTATCATATATGAAGCCCTGAGTTCTATCCTCAGCACTACCAAAAGAAAGAAAGAAAAATCTTCATATAACCCAAATCATTAACACATCTTCCTTTGTTATCTTCTAAAATATTAATTTTTCATCAATCTGGACTTGATTTTTGCATACAGTGTGAATTATAGCAGCCACAATTCTTTTGTTTTTAATATACATTTGCAGGTAAATCAGTATCATCTTTGTTAAACAAACTGACCTAAAGATGCTACTCTGCTCATATATGTCCTTTCATCAAAACCACACCTATTTTATTTCATTATAATAAGCTTTGGTATCTGCTAGTACTGTAAGACTGAGGTGAGACTTAGCACAAGAAATGCCATCTTGTTACAGGCCCTCCATCTTGTCCCTATGGGTTTTGGGTTCACTAAAGGACACAGAGTTTCTGGAATGTACTTGTTTATCTGTTAAGACACCATGGAATGCACCATTGTTTCTGTGTAAAGAACATCCTGTACATAAGTAAAGAACATCTGCAAACTCCCCTAACCATCCCCTAACCACAAAAATTCCGCTTCTGTATCTGCTTGCTAAGCTCC